ATCAGTTTTCATGGCAAAAAATATGTGCAACCAGCTGATTTTGCTCGTGTTCTTCAAGAATTATTTGATGAAGAAAAAGAAGGCAAAGAAACCTTTGGATGTGAGAACAGCAGAGATTTGAGTGAGGAAAATATAGAGATAAATAATATCAGCAGTTAATCTGAACAGTAAATTTTGGATGATGATGATAATAATGATATAGAAAAAAATGATTGTGATATGTTCTATGTTTGTAATGCTAACTCTTCTAAATGGCAAAAACAGAAGTACGCAAACTGCTCAAAGTCAAATAAGATGAATAATCTGAAAATGCTACCTGGCCTAAAAACCATGCCAAGGATACAGAGAATGAAATAGGATCATTTTTGAAAATAATTGATTTAAATATGCTTGATGAAATTTTGGAATATAGGAATAAGTATATAAGTTTACTAAAAATCAAATCCTCAAGAGACAGAGGCTGCACTTTTGCCTCAAGAGTGGAAATGATGACACAGTTTAGATTGTTATTTATGATAGGAATAAAAAAAAGGGCAATGTAAATGTAAAAGAATATTTCTCAAGTGATGATACTGGAACTGAAATAACAAGGGATGTGATGAGTTACAAGAGATTTTTATTTCTGTGAAGTTGTCTTAGATTCAATGATGAATCAAGAATACAGGACAGATGAATATTAAAACTAGCTTGGAGTTTAAGATATAGTAAGATATAAATTAAAAATTTTCTATAATGAAATACATAATTGCCTTTCCACCTTACAGATATAAGCATTTCAAAATAATTTACTTTCATTTAAATGTGACATCATTTGTAATAATATGGTTAATATTTTGTTTCTTAACAAATTTATTATCACTATTCACCCATTTATGTCGTTTCCCATACCAAAAACAGTAAAATAACAAATTAAAAAATACCATGTGCGTGTACTCACGTAAAATTGCCAATTGCGGCGCGTTCTGGAAGGTTAAAGTAGTTTTTTAGTTAAAATATGTATTATATATCTACTGTATTTAAACATCACATTAAAATAAATATTCATTAAGAACTCATTAATAAGCTCCACTAGTGCCCAAGTGATTAAGAATGCAGAATGCTGGAAATTCAACTTGAATTCAATCTTAGGTGAGTGGGTTTTCTGCATGCTTGATTTTCCAGATATTTCCCCATGTGTAATGTGAATACGAGCCAATTTCTCTTAGAAAGTTCACCATGAAAACATCTCTTTCCTTACGTAGATAGCCCTGGCATGCATTGCCATATTCAAATAAAATAATCTAACCGTTGATAAGTTTAAAGATAATGGCATATGAATTCATTGCTTTTTTGTTTTTGATGTGGTGCTCGTTGATTCTTATGATCATTTCAGCAAAGTGAATCAAATTATCATTTGTTAGTCCAAAGGGATTTGAATCCCGAAGGACTATTAGTTTTGTTTTGGCATTTTGCGTCGGACTCATAAATGTCGGTTCACTTTTCAAACTGTTGCCACAAAATGTTAGAGTCCTGCATTATATTTGAAGAAATTAAATAATGAAAAATCTGCATAAATGTATGTATATTTCTCGTATTGTGATAAAACAACGGTACATAGAGTCATCGAATTTTGAATAACGTAATCCTCCAACGAATATGAGCATGTGGAAGACCAAATTTGAAATTTGAAATTTGTTTTATGATCGATTTCCTATTTTTTAAAACTTTGACGAATTTTTGATTAACAAACTCAAGGATTTCAAAGCGAGCAATGGCAAACGTTGTACAGAAAAAACATTTTTATCTCCAGCGCGTGAGTCTCTGTATCGGAAATTCTAAAAATATGCTCGTTTTAAAACTATTTTGCGATATTGCTGTTGCACTGGATCTTATGGTTTAAGTGCGAGGAACATGACATTTAATAAAGAAAGGTAACGCACAAAATGTTAAAAAACGCCCCTTTGGACGTAATTTAAAATCTGAAACATTGCAGATTTTGTTATACTTATTTGCCTTTATGGCATTAAATATATTAAGTTGCACTTTTTTGAAACATTATATTCTGTTTTGAATTACCCTTGTTCAATAACAGCAGCTAGATCTTTATTTTCCCATAGAAGGATATTATGCCTATTTCAATTACTGAATAAATGAAAAGTGGCCATGTGCAGAAGGCACATGTGATGCAGATACTTATTTTGATCAGTGTGCTTCAACATTTCATTAGCATTCAGCATTTCATTAAGATGCAGGCAATTATTTTGCTGCTAAGCTTATTCTTTTCACAGTTTATAAGTTGCACTTTTTTGAAACTGCAAAACTTGGTCAATGAAACTATACCTTATTAATACAGTTTAGGCTTTCTTTTAGATCATTGCAAGGATTTGTATTGGAAACAACCATTTTAAGTCTTCTTTGATCATTAAAGTTATTTCTAATTATTCCTCTCACAAAAGCCTTGTTATTTAATTTCATCATGGTGGAAGAAGTACCACTGGGTCTTTGACAATAATGTAACTGTCAAGAACAATTCAAATTACCACCTGTTCACCTTAATTTTTTATTAATGGTTGAGGCAGTCCAGAACATGTGCTTCTAAAGGAGTTTTCGATGCATAGACACTTCTGGAAATAGGAATGATGGTGAAAATGAACTCAACGCTGAACAGTGCACATTTTGTTTTGTGGGTTTTCTAAGCTGTGCACTCTTCGCATTAATGAAACCAATATTTAGCATAAGCTTTGGCTATGAGTGGCTTTAATGTAGCTGTCCAACCATGATTGTTAACTCTGTAAAGCTCCTGAAGACAGTTTTCATAAAAATAAGTGACTTCAGGAATATTTTATGTTATGCCATAATTTAAAAAATCACTCTTTTATAATTTTGGGCAACACTTCATTTTAGCTCCCTAAACCCTAATGCCATTTTCAGATAACTTCCTTTTACTTTGATATTTTTTTAATTGTTTTAAAGTCTCTTTTTTACATCTATATGAGCCTGGATACTGTAACAGTCGATGTATCAAAAGAGACTTGCTGTGTTGAATACAATACACCAGCCAGATTAACACTAACAGGTTTTCCTATTTTGAACTCTGATATGTCATCCTTTTATGTCCTATAATTCTGAATGTTTTAACTAAATTTCTGTGATACTACTGAAAATTAAAACTTCACTCTCTTGTTATTCTTAAAATGCTGAAACCATTCAATGTTTTTAGCTAAAATTGCAAATGCTAGTTTAAAATTTGGAGTGCTATAGTATCAACCAGGTGTTTTAGTTTCATTATCCAGGCCTTCTATAATAACACTATCAGTTTTATGATTCTGTTAAACTAGTTAATCTGTTAAAGTGTTCTGTTTAACTAGTTTAGTAATTCACTATCTGCAAAATACAGTTAAATCATGCTAGGAAATATGCTGATTTACTTGTATTCTTGAGTAGGTCATCTGAATGTGTGGAAGGAAAGGCATTATATACATATTACATACAAATGTGTATAATTTCTTGATTTTTTTTTATGGAATTCAAAATGAATATTCATTATTTGATGTAAATAATTCATGTCAAGTTTACTTGCAAAATTTGACTTACAGTTGTTTTTATAGCATAAATGAGCAGTAAAGAGTTTCAGTATGTGTTATATGTTTATTTGTGACTTTTGTTTTCCATTCCTATGTTATGTATGACAAATAGCTCATTTGCATTGGCATGATATTAAGAAATACAAGACTTAATACCTTTCACCTCAATTTTTAATGACATTTGGCCTTCTTTTTATTTTATGATATAAATATCTCTATAAAATAGGCTATTAAATAAATTTTAATAAAAATATTTATTTCACGATTTATATTTAAAAAATAGTTTAATACAGTCAAAAGTCGTTAATTCGGACACCCATAATTCGGAATGATCTATAATCCGGACATCAAAAACTAAAAACTTTCTGCGCATGCGCCGCGTTGACACATGCGCAGAGGCATTCACACGTGCGCGTAAGACCTTTTACGACTGCGCATATGAGTGTGCGCAAGTGCAGAATACGTTTTAGCGTGCGCATTTTATGTATAATGGACATATAAGCTAAAATTATCTAATTATCTATTTCAGTTAATGTTGATGATTGCGTTGTTCCTTAATTTTCGAATTGCATCCGGCTTATTATTTTTTGCAGACTGTAAGAGCAATTTTATAAAGGTAAGCTTAAACTTTCGATTATATCAAATAGAATTTCCGATATATATTTGTTAATATGTAAAGGATCTAAAGCGAAGTATGTTTTGAAATCCGAAATCCGTTTATCAATTTCACGCTGCTCGGCGGCGGGCGCGTAATGAATTGGAAGTTGATTTGTCAGCACTATCCTTATCTTCAGCGCAGATGTTTTTATTTTTTTATTTGGCTTATAATTCCTTACCAAATGTAGTATTTCATCTCGATATGCTCCGTCTTTGATATGATTTAAAACAGTTCCTCGTCATTATAATTCGCTTCTGATAGCGAAGAACGTGACAGAGGTTATTGAAAACAAAAAAATTTCGATTGACAAATTAGTCGGTGTTCTTGACACAGCAATTATAGGACTTGAACGGCGGAACTTTGTAACTGAACAAGAAATTATGTCTGTTTAATAGAATTAAAGAGAAAGTATTATCACATGAAACGAAGCAAAACTTAAACAACTTACATTGAAAGAAATGTTTAATAAAGTAAACAAATAAATATTAAGCTTTTTCTTTTTGCAAATTTTTGATACCCTTTAGATCATAATTGTTCTTTATTTCATAAATTACGGTTTCATATTTTTAATTTTAGAATTTCTGCATGCCATCTTACGAGATTTAAACTGATGATCTATAATCCGGAAAAATCGATAATCCGGAATCGTCGAAGTCCCGACGAGTCCGGATTAACGACTTTTGACTGTATATATTTATAATGTAATTATTGTGGTTGTCATCCTGTTTTCTTTTTATTGTAGTGAAAATTTAATGAAAGTATCACATGATGTATTTTAGGCTCTAGAAAAGGGCACATCAGTACTTGTTCATTGCTCTGATGGATGGGATAGAACAGCTCAGACATGTTCTCTGGCTGCTTTATTACAGGATCCATATTATAGAACCATTACTGGTTTTCAAGTAAGCTGTGATTGAAAATTATCAGAATTTGTTATGAAAGTACTACAGTATTTTCTTATTTTCCCACCCTCGCATATTTTTTCCTAGCTTTTTAGTGCCAGTTTCTGAAAAATATCTGCATAATTTTTCCCTTCCTTCATGTGTTCAGAGAACTATCACCTCTAAATTTTAAAATCGATTCATCCATGTAGTGATTGATTTTGTTTTACTAACAAAGACAAAACCTCGGAAACTACTTGTGAAGGTCATGCCACTACTTCCCTATCTAATAAGAAGGGTGAGGTTCTAGTTTCAGGGACAGGGGAGTAGAAATGAAGATATCTTATTAGACATTGTGATGCTAATATTGCTATGTATTTTTTATTGAAATTCTTTTAAAGAACTAACATTTTGATAGTCACCTCTGGTTTATTCATAACTACTTTTCATTTGTCATGCTCTTACTGTAACCACTTCTTCTGGAAATTAAATTATTTACATAAATTTCTGCTCTCGATTTTCGAATAGTAAATTCAATGGAATCCCTTTCCGTCGAAGGACTGTGGAAAGAAATATGGTATATAATTTTATTAGTACATCCATTCATAATTCTGCTGTAGGTTTTTTTTTATTTGTGATGCATTTGTATGAATTTAGAACGTTGTAGTAAAATAATTTTTTGTGTTGCATTAAAATAAGTCTTTTAACTACCAGTTCAGAAACTTGCAGCTAGTCTAATGGCAAAAGTATTTTTTATGTTTTTATAATTTAAAAGTTAAACTTTCTTGAATGAATAAAGTTAATTTTGTATTCATTCAAGTATATATACATTAAAAGCCCGACTATTCAGCATTCAACTAACTGGAAAGCTCAAGTACCGAGAATATTTAAAAAAACCTTTGTCCCTGAAAAATTTAGTAAATGAGAGAATTGTATTGCCATTATAGAACTTTTAATATTATTAACACTAATACATCATCACCAAGCAGTGTGATTTAGTGCCATTAATATATACGCATGACATCGGAACATAATAATAAATAGTCCTCCCCCCATGATAAGCTGATTAATTTTTCTAAAGAAGGATATAAATTCAATATTTTTCCTTGCATTTTGAAAAATAGTTAATATTTGGGACTCTGAAATGAAGTATTTTCAAAGTTACAGAATTTGGTCATTTGATTTAAGTTTTTCCATGTTGTATGTATATTTTGTTCTCTTTATTAGCTGACTAAACAGGATGATCTGTTAATTTAAACTTCTACTGGAATGATAGGCGACATCTTCACCAACTTTCATGTTTGGTAGGATTTCAAATTAATCAAAATACATCAGCTTTAATGACTAAAGGGCATTTTTTTTTCTGTCAAAATTGTATATAATTTTGAATGCAAGCTTTTGATATTCAAGTTGATAACAAATAAGATGATTGTTTTTATAATTTTAGAGCTGAAATTTTTTGCATTGATTTATTGGCTTTTCTAATGTGAATTCCATTTTTCATGCACTCAACTATCTGGAATTCCATATTTCCTAAGCTTTCCAAATTATTCAGCTTATGAATAAATTACAAGAATAAATTTGAGGGCAGTGTTTCTGTTTTTTAAATTTTAAGGTTTGAAAAGAGTATTTATAATATTTCTTTTTACCTTTCATGTATCACTAATAAATACCAAAGCTGTTTTGTTTTAAATAAAGATTATGACATTAAAAAAATTTATTGCATTTCATCTCGAAATTTTTAAGCTGATGTGAAGGGTATTGAAAAATGTATGTACATTTTTCAAACAAATTTATTTAAGTTTTTGCCGTAGATTCTGATCTTTCAGTATTCTGCCATCAATCTCAAGCATTTTATTTTTTTATTTATTTATTACAGTTTTGTTTTATCATAAGCATAGTTTTTATTTTCGGCAAAAAACTTTGATTTCATTCCAACCTTCATGCTGGAAATTAATTACAGTAGACTCCCGATTATCCACGGGCGGATTATCTGTGGAGCGGATTATTCGCACCTGCAGTACAAAGTTTTTTTTATTATTTTTTATAAGCGTAAAGCAAAAAAAAAAAAATAAAAATAAAAATTTTCACAAAACTGAGCAAAACGTTCAATTTGCTAACATCGTGCTTATTTATAGCAAAAATATACCAGGCCTTCTCGGAACCTTTCCCTCTGATGAGTAAATGATTTTTTACTCACCCTTGCAGTATCTGCTCCACCGCCCTCTCTCATCTTAACCCCTTAACTGCCACTGAAAACGTACAAGATTCATTTCCCAGTGCCACAGTTTTTCACACAGGTGCGCGTAGTTACGCGAAGTATTAAGGGAAAATAAGGGCAAAAATAAAATAAAATTTCTAAAATCTGTTTACTTTTACAAAATAAAGAATAAAAGAAAAAAAATGAATGCACTAAATTTAATGTTTTGAGTAAAAGTATGACAAAAAGATGTAAGTATAATAAAAATGATGTTTTTATAATAAAAAAGATTCCTAAAATGGAATTTCGATAAAATAAAATAAAAAAATAAATAAAATACATTTTACTCAAACAACACCAGCCAATACCGCGCAGTCATTACTTTCACCTCTTTAGACACATCTGTCTCTCTAATTTCTCTCCACACTTCTCTGAAATAGTATCGTCCTTCGCATACTTTGTCAAGGTCATTGTGGTGTTTCATTCCAAAGCTTTGCGAATAATTTTGCGGGTAGCAGCACAAAGCAAATGATAGTATTTTGGAAGGGCGTATATATACGCCAGGGGCAGTTAACGCATCGGCCGAGCAAGGCGTATATATACGCCCTCGGCAGTTAAGGGGTTAATCTTACTGACACGTTCACTTCCTCCCACTCCCCATTGTTAGTTTAAGCCTGATAGTGTTTGCGAATCGGTCAGAGTTAATTTCTTATCTTTTATTGTTCAGTGCTTGTGCTTTTTGGTTTTGTGTTTTTCGTTACTCATTTAAAATGTCAGGAAAATGAAAGAAGGTTGTGTTGACGATAGCGCCAAAACTAGAATTAATTTCCAAAGTAGCAAACAACGCTTACAAGGTAGCATATGGAATGGATTACAGAATCGCGGAAACAACAGTGCGTGACATTCTAAAGCAAAAAGACAAACTGGTGAACTTTGCATCAATGTCGGATAGTGCTTCCGCAAAGAAAACGCGAAAAAGTGTGAAAGGTTCTACCTTTGATGAGCTAGACACGGCATTGACAGAGTGGTTAGCTGAAGTACGAAAAGACAGGGTACTCCTGTAAATGGTCCTATCATTGCGGCGAAGGCAAAAACCTTTTTTTGAGTTGTTAGGCCTGAAAGGAAATTTTGATGCATCTTTTGGCTAGTTGACTCGTTTTAAGCAGCGACATGGAATTCGAGAAATTGGACTTCATTGGGAGAAACTTAGTGGTGACCAACAAGCAGCCGACGATTTCCCCATGAATTTGAAGAATTTGTATTAAAAAAAGAGCTATCTTTTGATCAAATTTAAAATGCCAACGAATCGGGACTTTTGTCGACAAATCGGGAATCGCACTTAGCATTTGAAAATGAAAGTAAAGCGGCGGGTTATAAAAGCAGCAAAGCATAGGATCACTATCATGTCTTGCAGTAAGGCTACCGGTGGACATAACTTAGACTTGTTGTCATTGGAAAGTTAAAAAAAAAAAAAAAAAAAAAAAGGATAGATCTTTCAAGCGAAACATTTTACAAGATTTGGTTGTTAACATTTAAAAACCAAAAAAAGTGGAAAAATCTTTTTCAAATCGAAAAACCTGCCTGAAAAAGCTGTGCTATTGATTCGACAATGCACCTTCTCACCTAGTAACAAGCGTGTCTAAAGTCTTCTGATGGACAAATTTTTGCAAAGTTTCTGCCCCCCCAAACGTTACTGCAGCTAATCCAACCCATGCACCAAGGAGTCATTGCAACAATGACTCCTTGGTGCATGAAGGCAGGTTGGCAATTGAAGAGAACATACCGAACCAAGCTGCTAATGACCAAAATTGAAGAAGGTTATCGATCTGAAAGAGTTTGGAAACACTACACACATCTTCGACAGCATCTACGATATTGCATCTGCATACACTCAGTGAAACCGTCAACCCTCATAAAATTATGGAGAAAACTCATGCCTAATGTTGAAGCCAACAACAACCTAACCCCTTTGAGTTGTAAAGAAGAGAAGGAAGCTATAGAGACGCCCACAGCAACTTTTGCCGATATGGTGAAAAACAGTTCCGAGTGGTGAGAACGTTGATGCTGAAAGCATTAACGAGTGGTTGGAGTGTGACGTCAACGAACCTGACTTTGAACGCTTGACAGATGACGAAATTGTGAAGAAAAGCAAGGGGAGAGACCGAGAATGAAGGACAGTGAAGTGAAGACGAAGAAGATACTGTGCAATGCAGAAGACTCATGAAGCGGCTTTGCACAAGTCTACAGACTTACTGAGCTATTTGGAAGAACAGAGACGACGGAGTTGGCCGAGAAAACTTATGCTACGAAAAATGCAATCTCGGATCAAGAGAAAATGCTTCCAAAGCACAAAGCAAACACAAATGACTGCTTTGTTAGTACATAAGTATTAAAACACATATGTACTGTGTATCCTTGACGCCTCTCGTAAGTATACAAATTTTCTATTTTTTAGGATAGTTTTGAGTGATTACTAAAATATTAAGCGTTAGTTAAACATTTCCCGCTGTTTATTTTACATTTTATTGTATATAAAACGATTTTTCAAAGTTGGAATGACTGTTTTCTTTGCTATATCCGTTTTTAGCTTTTTTCGGATTATCGCGGTTTTGCGGCCCACCCAATTCCCGTATAATCGGAGGTACTGTACAGAACCAAGGTAAATAAACTTTGCATATTGAGCAGCGGTTTGAAGAGATATAAAAGAATTTTTTCATTGCAACGATTTATCTTGTCCATCTCACTCTAGATATATCCAAATAAATGATAGGTACCATTGTAACAAATTCATTTATGGGCCATGATTCACCTGTTTTAAAGTATTTATAAAAAGAAACAAAAATGAAATTTTTACTAAG